ACCCGATCCTCTGCTTCGCACAACTTCTACACACAAAGCTCTAGGCTCTCTATTCAATTGAACTCGTTTTCTAGAATTGGAACAAAAATTTGGAACGAGATGCCTCTTACATTAAGGAATCTCTCAAAATATGACTTTAAGAGAAAAATTAAAAGAGTACTTTTCAATATTCTGTCTTCGGAAGACTCCTATCTCGACATACGAAACATCATTCAAAAGGTCAAATTTTCTTAAGGTTTTTAATGTATTTCTAGAATAACAAGTATAGCCTTAATTGTACTATTTTTGTATTTTTGTAGTATCTTTGTTTTTATACCTACTCTTTTTATTTAACTTCCTGATTTCTGTAAACCTGTATACTTATTCTCTCTAATTAATTTCCTGATTTCTGTAAACTTCAACTTTTTTTCTTAGTTAAGACATGACCCACCTAGATTAGCTAGCTACCCGTGGGCATGTCGAATTTGTTAAAATAGTCATTAGTCATTAGAAATTAGAATAAATAAAGGTTGTTTTTGTTGTTGAGGAAAATCGCTTGTTTCTTTGCTGAAAATTACAAAATTTGAGTAAAAAAAAGCAAGAGCCGTCAAAGACTGAGTTATGTTCAGCTCTCAGAAAAAGGAATGGGCACATCTTTGGTGGTAAGACACCATTTGATTTTGAGGAAGGACCAAAATTTGCCAGTGCTCGCTCTCCTCTGGGAAAGCGTCAAGAAACACTGAGAGGCACCTGCACGTCGTCCAGCAAGAATATTCAAAAATCACCAACGGTTGCCTATGCCCTTCCACATGGAACAGTCTGTCCAAAATTCACCGGCGTCCTACTCAAATACCATGACCAATAACTGGCATTTTGTACAGCCGCCAAGTAAGTTGGTCCCTGCTGAATTCTTAGTGAGAGTGAATCGACGTGACGTCCATCGGCAAACTATGAGACCTCGAACCTTTCAAGTCACACAACCCCAAGATCAGAGAAGAACAAGCCCGCATGGCAGGAAGGTTGCCAGACTGGAGTCCGTGCTACGTGCGCATCATGAACCCGAGACGACAGAAAAGAAAAGAGAATCCACATTCCAGAATAAAACCGTGATCTGTAAGTCGTACTTAAAGCTACCTTCGCTGGAAAAAATAAAAATCACTTACCCTCTCCTTGAACGAGAGAGGGCAACAGTAAACCGAGCAAAACTACGGCAACGACGTCTACACAGAAACAGTAGAAGGAATGGACTTTGTGCACAAACAGGTCCGGCTCATCAACATCTAACATTCATCCGTGTTTTACGAAAACGATTTTGATGAATCAACTGAAACCGTTGTGATACTGATTAAAGTAGTTGGCTCATTCTAGTCAGGCCGGGCAAACTTATCGTTTATTCCTACAGCAGTCATGTTTATCATTGATTGCTACAGCAGATATGAGTTCATTGTAATTATCCATAAGAAGCAAGTCTAACATCAAATTAGTTCATTATAGTAGGCCGAAAGCTGGCCAATTTATAATTTATGTGCGGCAGAAATTAGCTAATTGCATTTGACTGGGAGCAGTCAAATTTCAGTATCCTTGATGACAAAACTATGGGTGGGAGCGTTCGTCTTTTTTTGTCATTTAATAATTGAATAGTTAAAAAAAGCTCGACTTGTTATTAAATATTTCCAGTTTTTGTGATATTTTAAAATACTTCTGCATTAAATTTTCGTATAGTTTTCGCGCGTGAATACTTTTACGCGATACAAAGAAAGACAAAAAGCAAAAGACACCATTAAAAGGCATATTTATCGACAATAGTTATTTTACAGGCTTGTTACCAATTCCAATTAGTGAAATGAAATATTATTACATCTAAATGCTTTAAAACACTCTCACTATAATGCCCAACATTACTACAGCTACGGATTTCCTACACACCCTGAATCACGCCCATCTTTCTGTCAGCTTTATAATGGAAATCGAAAAAGATGGTATGCTCCCCTTTCTTGGCACCCAGCTCCTAAACCGTGCACCCCAAATTGAGACGAAAGTTTATGTCAAGCCTACTAATACTGGTTNCTTGAACTCGCATTTGTAAATTTTATTTTCATTCGTACCCTTGATAATGGCGTCATGAAGTCGCCGAAACGTCGGGATTTTATATCGTTCATTTTTACTTGTCTATCTAAATGCTTTAATATTTTTTTTGTCTCATCGAGCCGTTTAAAACGCTCTTTTTCTAAACTTGATCGCGCTCACCTTTGACATTATGTACATGTATAAGTAGAGAATAAGGCTTGGCAAAGGACGCCACGATGTCATAGCCACATCCACTTCACACTGGAATTAACGCTGAAATGTGAAAAAGATCAACTGAATCACAATTGACCCTTGCTCACCATAGAGTCTCCTGTAGCTCAGTGGTTAGAGCATCCGACTAGATCACGGAGGGTCGTGGGTTCAAATCCCATCTGGAAACTCGATTTTTCTCTTGAATCACAATTGTTTCTAAAAGAAAGTGTAACGCTTCGTCTCATTTCCCGATTTGGGCTTGGTCTATTCAATATTTCCACAGAGAATCGCTGTTCAAGTCTCGCAAACGGCTTCCTCGCTGCGATCGGTGTACAACTCATCATCCACGAGCTGGGTTTCCTGTGTTCAACTGAACGCCCGTCCGCTTGTGTTTACCAATATATCTTCTCAGCTCGAATATCGTGAACACTCGAACACTGACATTTTATAGACACGCGGCGGTTTGATATCCTTCAAAATTGCTCTATAAAAAGGAACTTGCATCATTTATGGTATGGATCGAGAAGAAAATAGCTTTTGGTACAATTTTGTCTTCTTCTCCTCTCCCCCCAGTGTATTCCTTTTTTTTTTTTTTTTTTTTTTTTTTTTTTTTTTCTGTATTTAATTTTGTCGAAAGCGTCGTCTGTTTAAAAGAATAGAGAGACCGGGTGCGCGTGTGTATCCGCCCACGCGAAGGAGTGACAACAGAGGTTTCAAGGGTGTTCAAGCTTTTTTTTGCTTTTTTGCTTTTTTTCTAAAGCTTTCTTGAACATTAGGTAAAGGTTACCTTAATGTCTGTCATGTAAGGTTCAAATTAAATTTTTCCTATTTTTTTTTCTTAATCATTATTTCGATAGGAATGCAAACAGTCGTGAAGTGAAGAACATGAACCGTCGAAACGCAAAGGGTAAGTTTGAATTCATATCTTGTTCTTATGGAAGAACTCATGCGGCGTCTGTGCTAAAACAAAATACAGTCGAACCTGTATTTAGCGGCACCGTATTAAGCGGTCACCCTGTACCAAGTGGTCGATTGTCAAAGTCCCAAATTTGTTTCCCCATAATCACCGTTCACCTCTTTTAAGCATTCACCTCTAAGTAAGTGGTCGCGGTCTCCTTTGAGTGAGTCCAACGACCTGTTTGTATTGTCTTCTCCTGTATTCAAGCGGAACTACTCAAATAAAACTAAGAATAATCTTTCAAGTAAAATTTAATCCATATTTCTCTCCCGAGATCAATGTAAGTAGTATTTTAGCGGATTTTTTGTACATTGAAAGGTCAATTATGGCATAAAATGGCGTTTTTTTATCGTTTTTTTTTTTTTTGACGCCCCATGCTTTGAAACTTGTATTGCAGGTCAACCTGTAATATTCTCCGTGAGTGACCGCTTAATACAGGTTTGACTGTTTTTCAGGAACATAGTGAACAACGCCCACACGGGGCAATAATAATTAAATATTTATATTGCGCAAATTAACATTGGGATATGATCAAATGCACATTACAATGTTTTTTGCGGGGGACTTAAGGTTACTTCCTACCTTCGCGGGTGTCCTTCGGAAAAAATTCGTACGCGCGCCAGTTTGAAGAAAACCCTACAAACTATACATCAAAACAAAGCTTAATATAATACATGCAGTTTACAATAAAAATAATTTAATTTAGGCGATTTTTTCATTTAGGAAGTGTCAGGAGCCGGTAAGACGTGAAACGACCGAGGGTCCTTCTATTGAATTTATCGGGTATCGGATCCCGCGGCACGAGAAAAATGGCTGCCCAGTCTCATTCACAAGGCATCAATCAACAAAAGTGTGTCAGGCTTTTCCCATATTCTGATTGGTTGTCTAGATATTCGCATCTAAAGTTAGAGTAGCGAAAAATATGCGAAGCGTGTTGCGTTTATGGACACCACGTAAAAAAATATTTAAAATATCAAAATTTCCTGACACACTTTTGTTCGTCATTATCTCAGAAAATTTCGAAATTTCACGAAAATCGGTCAAATCTACATACCCTATAAATTCTCTCAAAGTGCATCTATTCCTCTCAAAATCAAATGCGAGATTTTAGCTCCTAAAGGTTTGTAAACAACTAGCGCCACACAAGGAGATCATGTCGCCTCCTGAAACCGCAAACCAATGAGAAGACGAGACCTCCTGCCTTAATGACAATGAATCAAGATTTTCCCGGGAAAAGTATCGCGTAGCAGTCACGTTTTTTTATCTGGCTTAGTTGATCGTTTAGTAATGGACAAAGTCGGCGGCAGAAAGGATAAATGGACAAAGTCGGCGGCAGAAAGGGTAAATCTGTCGCATTCTTCTTTTTCTCCATCGGTTTCGTCAGATTCCGACGAAGAATCTTGTTTACAGCCTTCTGTGGTGTTGACTTTAATTTTTAAGCTGCTTTCCTCAAGGATAATCGAATGCTGCCGATCTTCAGCGGATGCCGAGCTTGTCACTTTCAGCAAGGACTGTTTTTTTTTTTCTTTTTCTTTTTTTGACAAAATGCTGCCATTTGTCTTTTCTTTTGGCCTTTCTTTTTCTTTACCCATGGACTCCTCTCTAATTTTCAGTTATGTTTTTTATTCATGAGAAAAGACTTTCTACGAGCAGATTCTTCCAGGAGTGAATTTTGTCATGTGCGCGATGTAAACAAAATATGCAAATAACAGGAAATTGTTGCGAATATTCCCCTGGGGGGTTCGTCCGTTTACAAGATTATGACACCTTCCTGATCGGACGCTTTTTGAGATTTTTAATTTTTTTCTTTTGTAAACGTTAGTTAAAATGTCTAACTTCAATCTAGTCCAAAAAAAAAAAAAAACATTTTTTCGGCCTCTGAATGTAGGAAGTAACCTTAACAGACTGCTTGCAGCAGTTTACAATTCTTTGTGAAGACTAATTTTAACAGATGCCCCCAGGGGGGCATCTGTTAAAATTAGATGCCCCAGGAGGGCATCTGTTAACAGGCCAGACCACAACACCGGGAGCTACGTTCCCTTCTCTTTGCGATAAAGTGTGTGGGTTCTTTAACGTCCCCTACTAACCAGTACAGAGATGCAGGAAACGGGGCCTACGGTGTTTCGTCCTTTTCCGAGAAGACTAAAATGTCTAATCATTTGCAGATATAGCAAAGGCAGCACATTCTCGTCAGTTATTTTAAGACCCTGAGTGTTGGTCCGGTCTGGGGCTCGAACTCTCGACCTCCCGCACGGCAGTACGGTGCTCTACCACTTGAGCTAATCAGACCATTGGATGCATTCTCATTAGCGGCAACTCAGGTTTTTTTCACTTTGCCGCATCAGCGTCACAAGTGATTTAACATCTTTCACCACTTAGCATTGCTTTTCCTTTTTAAAACTAATCAAACAGACCAGTCTGTCTTTGCACAATCATCTATGGTGTTTCCTCCAAGGTGAATCCGATCTTCAGTCAAGTTGCATCAAGAACCGTGTGGAAATAGTGAAACAGCTCCTTGTGCAGGGCGCAGACGCCAACATGCAGGACTACGCAGGTTGGACAGCACTGCATGAGGCTTGTAACCATGGATTTGCAGAGTGTGTTCAAGAGTTGCTAACGGCAAGGCAGCTTGTGTATGAATTAAAAGCTGGACACGGTATGTTAATTCAGTTGTTTCTATTTTACTTTTAAGATTATACGCTTATTTTTTCAAGGACTTCCTTGCTTAATAATTTCTGCTCAAAATTTCTCATCTGCAACTTCTTTAAATAATGGCGGTTAAACGTCCATGTTCCTTCATTTTAGTTCTTGTATTTAGTTCTTTCGTTTAGGGTTTTGCCTACTCTCTGATCAGACATTGTAATTACCGTTGATTTGGTTTAATGATTCTCAAGTGCATTATAGCCTTCAAACTCACATGCCACGTAGCAGACATATTACCCAGGCTGTTATATACTTTGATGGTTTTGTGTTACCAGATCCAAGCAAGGTACTGAACTTGTTGTCAGCTCCTCGTCAATGTGGGACAACACCATTACATGACGCGGTGGAAAATAGTCACCAGCATGTTGTGGAGCTTCTGGTCAAAGCAGGAGGTGAGGGGTTGTATCGTTTGAGTTCAACACTGGTAATGTTTTCACATTAAAGATCGTTGTCTTCTGCATGGGTACAAATGAGAATTTTAACTAGAAGTCGTATCCCTGAAGATTACATTGATTTTGCGTAAGCCTAATTAAAATAATTCACTGATATGAAAACCTCAGTTGCTTGCGGTCTGCCCATCATTCAAGTTATCCATGACACTTTCTCCCATAGTTCGCCCAGAGTCTTGAATTCTTAAAAAAAAATTCTTAGGAAGGTTGCAAACTAGTTTTCCAGACCTGGGAAAGTAGAGAAAAGTAGAGCTTTGATCTGAAAAAAAAGGAAGACGTTTTCAATTTTATTTAGTGTGGAAAATCCACCCATCTCAAGGCAACTGTTGGGGCGAGGACGAGATTAATCTGTTGTTCTTTCCCACTCAGGTTTACCCTTACTGGAAGCAAAGAACGCTCAGGGTAAAAAACCAGTTGACTTAGCAGCTAAAGATGAAATGAGAGAATTTTTACAGTCAATGGAACTACAGTTTAAGAGAAAGGAGAGTAGCGTCATAGCTCTTCCTCCTTCTGAGGAAAGTTATCAAGCATTGTTAGGAAAGGGAAGACACTCCAGTAAGCGAGTGTCGACTGCAGACTATGACCAATATCTGTTGATCCTATCGCATCTGGTGCAGTCGTACTTCCGCACCACAAGAGCACGGGCTGCTTTTGCTTGTGACGAGCAACTATGGCTGAACTTCGGTAAACACTGCAGTAATCTTGAAGCTCATGTTACCAGGATCGCCGCAGACAGGCGCCTCTCCTCCCTCGCGTGCATCCGAATCCATGCCATGAGAATGCTAGGAGGGTTGTAACGAGAAAAATCTTTCACATTTTAATTATTAGCAAAAAACGATGTCCAAAGAATAAAACTTCTTCAATGAAATTTTATATCAATGTGGAAGCTACGCGTTGGGGAACAAATTTCTTTGCGCCGCTCTCTCCACCTAAGACGTTTATGACGACGCGAAATCTTTCATGTGAACGTCCTCCATGATATCAGTTATGTTTGAACGTGGATAACTTTCACAAATTTGAATAATGAACGGGAAGTCGCCGGTCACGTTGCCGGGCTGGTCAAGCGTGTTTTTGCTCGGATGAGTGCGCTTCAGGCCGGTCAAATTTGAAAAGTGTTGTCCATATATGAGTACATTCGTGCGGTGGAAGAAACTCAGTAAAGAAAATTTTATTTGAATGAGTTGTAATTGGTTATTAGAAGCGTGTAAGCCTCTTCAGTGTGAGGGGAGAATACAACCGCTGTGTTCGGTTGAATAAAGAGTTTCTCAATTCAGCAGCAGTATTGTTAATAAATTTGTGGGTTATTGTGGGGGAAATTCTTCCATCAGGAATATAAGTTGTGGTGAAAGGAATTCTTGTCCAATTCTGTCTGAAATTACTCATGATTATAGAACGAATTGGACGACAAGAAGTCCTGTTACTAATAATCAATGCTTTGAAAAAAAAAATCGGGAGACCAAAAAAGTTGCCAGGAAAAATGCACAACAACGGCGCGCGCTCATCACGCGCATCGTCCGATTACATAGGCAGGACGCTTGCACTGTCCGATAACACTGTCCTGTTACAAGCATGACGCATGCGCTGCCCCATTAAAGCTCAAATCAGGCTTGCAGTGACCAATCAAGCGAGGACTTTGTTAGTTTTGATTCGTAATTTGATAGGACTGAGTGAAGTCCAATTCGGTCTGTAATCATGCGAGTGAGCAACAAAATCAGACGACTGCGAAGCTGGAGTCTGATATGTTATGATTACAGTCAGAATTGGGCGCCCGCCTGTTCTTAGCTTTTGTTACATTAGTTGTGACGATCTGAGTTAATCCTTTTTCTAGATCAGATTGTCCAGTTTGTGTATGGCTTACGTCTCGCACGCAAGAAACAGGATAGGCATCTTCTTTAAGACATCAGCCTAAAGCTCAACTGTCTTAAAGCGTTAAGAAGTCCAGGGACCCGTTTCTCGAAAGTCCAGGTAACCTAAGAGGCCTGTAAATCTGTTCTGTTTTCTTTCAAGATGGGGTCTCAAATGTTTTGAGAATTATATCATAAAACCAGCAGCTATAGAAACAAAATGAACCTATTAGGGTGTCAGAGCTTACTTCTCCATTCTTTTACTTTTTATTTTAACATATGGTTTCGCGCCCGTTAAGTTACCGGGACTTTCGGGAAACGGGCCCCAGAGACGATAATGTACAATGTCCTCTCGATAGTACAGACTAGAATCTGAATAAATGTCATTGCACCAGTCAATTTTGCACAATTTTCGTTTCAAGCTAAACCCAGGCAACTTTGCCTACCAAATAACCTCGATTTTCATTGGCTAGCATTGGTGTAGCTAGTACCAATACTTGATACCAGAGCTTAATTTCTATCAGTGGTTATCTTGCGCTCACATTTTCTCCTTTTATTGGAATATCACGTCGAATATTACTGTCCGATTTAACCAGTCCAAGATGCTTGCATTCAGACAGGTCAAATGGAACAGTTTTGAGCTGCGAAGCTTAAGTGAGTAAGAAATAAAGTTGTTAACAACCAATCAGATTCGAGCATTTTTTATTGCCACAATATTAGGGCATCAGGACGACAAAGTGTGCGTCATGCGGGTGTTATCAGGTATTCGTCGATGCGTTGCGGTAGACTCCCGAATTTCAACCTTGTCAGTCCGCAAACTTCTTTTGTACAGTCTAATCGTATGAGAGTTAAGAGCGGCCATCCCGAAGTATCTCCCGGAAGTGTGCGATACGAAAACATCGAAAATAAACTTTACCAGAATCTGGGTCTGGACGTACTGTTTCTAGAAAAATACTTTGAGTTCCATTACGTTTTTATTTTACGCAAACGGTGGCAAGATCGGTTTAGTGGCTCTCACGTCAGCTTCACGAGGTTCAGACAACCCGTTACTTAAACGTCGAAAAATCAACAATGCCCGCATAGAAAAGACAACAGGCCGTTTTGGGGGCGAACAATCGTTCCTAATCTGAATAAAAAGCTAATTTTAATCAACAATTGAATAAAGGCTGATAATTTCGAATGAAACTGTTTGGGGCTGCGTCGGTGGGAGTAACGAAATAATTTAGATATATCAACAAAGTTGAAATGGTAAATTGGCCACCGTAACGATTACAAAAGCTGACGTTTCGAGCGTTAGCCCTTCGTCGGAGCGAATAGAGGAATTGTGGGTTGTGTGTGCTTTTAAAGGCAGAAAATGGAGCTACGTTATTGGTGGGAACATGGCAACGAGAAAAACACGAATAAATTAGTGGAATGAAAAGCGTTCGTTGATCCCTGTGGGATTTAGACTGCCGGTTTGAAAGATGAGCTTTTGTTCAAGAGTTTTACGGCTTTCCGTGCTACCTAAGTGTAAGGAAAGACCGCAGATTGCCATATGTTGCTTAGAATGATTAGGTAAATTAAAATGTCTAGCGACTGGTTTCGATGTGTCCTTGTCATTCCTTTCCACGTCTCGAAGGTGTTCTCGGAATCGGTCACCTAGTCTTCTGCCTGTTTCGCCGATGTATATCTTTTTGCAATAAGTGCAAGTTATGCAATAGATTACATTGGCGGAGGTGCACGTGAAGTGATCGGTGATCTTAATGGATCGTTTAGGTCCCGATATTTTATCAGTGTTGTGAATGAAAGGACACGTTTTGCATCGTGCACGAGCGCATTTAAAAGTGCCTGGTTGGTCATTAGTCTGAAAAGAACTTCTGACCAAAAAATTGCCTATGTTTTTGTCGCGTTTGAATGAAATGAGCGGAGGCTGCGAAAAGATAGTGCTTGTCTCTGGATCGTTTTGAAGTAATTTAAAGTTTTTAAGAATGATGGATTTAACTGAGTGGTTGTGAGGGTGAAACGTGAGAGTGAATGGAATGCGGTCGGAATCTTCCTTTTGC